CGACAATCGACCCTTCCTTACCTAATCAGTAGGGTAGAAAGGAAATAAATGTGATAAGAAAAGTAGTATAGAAGAAGTGGGATACAAGGAAGGACTCCATCAGACTTACTACCAAGAGGGGTTGCTCCCAAAACATCCCCTATCACCCTCTCGCCAACTATGGTACAAACCCAGGCACCATTCGAGGTTGAGGTAGCTATGCCTTTCACTGTGATGGAAGCTCCAACACCATCTTATAAGTCTGATGTTGTCCAATGGGATTATGTGGTGAAAGCATGGAGAAAAGGAAAAGCCAAGATGGAAGAGACAGGTGTTGCACAAGGAATAACCAGAACCGGCAGGGTTTACACACCTGAAAATCTTGGACGAACAAGTAAAGAGACCACACCGAAACCACCTATCGTGGAGACAGGCACTGATGATCTTTGGAGGAAGGTACAATCAAGGTAATACTCTATTGTTGATCACTTAAACAAGACTCCCACTCAAATATCCATCTTATCATTGTCGCAAAACTCAGATGCGCACAAGAATGCCTTGATGAAGGTGTTAAGTGAAGCTTATGTACCCACTGGTATCACTAGTGGAGAGATGGAAAATATGGTAGGACAGATACTGGAGAGCCACAAGATTACTTTCCACAAAGATGAGCTACCGCCAGAAGGATTAAGTCAAAACAAAGCATTGCACATCATTGTGCAATATAAAGACAAGTTCATTGCTAGGGTTCTGATAGACGGGGGTTCAAGTCTGAACATATGCCCAGTGACTACTTTGAAAAAATTGGGTATAGGCCTGCATGAGATATGGATGGAAAGTATGAACGTAAAGGCATTTGATGGGTCTCAAAGTGCCACTATCGGAGAGATCAAACTGGATTTACAGATGGGCCCAACTTGGTTCAACATTGAATCCTATATGTTAGATATATCCGCAACTTATAACTTGTTATTGGGACGACCGTAGATACATGCACCTAGGGCAGTCGCTTCTACTCTTCACCGTTCGAGTGGAATCATCAAGAGGTGATTATTCACGGAGATGGAAGTAACCCTCTACACCAACCAGTCTATACCGGCTATCGCGAACAAGAGGAAATTAGGGGGAAACATATCATAGCATTAAGCGGATAAACGCAAACGAGAAAGGGCGATGATGGAGAATTAAGATAGAGAGAATACTGATGTGGTTGGGGTATGAACCAGGCAAATGTCTTGGTCCAAAGATTCAAGGGATCCTAGAACCGATACGACCACAATATCATGGTACCACCTTTGGTCTTGGATATGGATGCACCGTGCAAGAATATAATGATTGGATACCGTCGTGGCGTGACTTTCAATATCCATTGGAACAACCCATACCACTATTGCACCAGACATTTCGCCAGGCTGATGTGATTTGAGGATCCGAGGAAGATAAGGTCTTGGCCGGCATGAGGAAGCTATTTTTGGATGAGGAAAATATGGACTACAGTGCAATCTTGGTGGAGGAGGAAGACCTTACCATTCAGACAGTGGGAGAAGGAGCTGTTCTCAGGAATTGGACTGATGTACTATCCCGGGCTCGCCGAGCACCTGGATAGCCTTGGCAGAACTAGCATGACTTATTTTAAAATTGTTTTTGGCATTTATGACATTTTTAGTGTTTTGTATTGAAATAATTACTCGAGACATCGAGTCATACTTGATGACAGTTTTTAAGTTTTATTAATGCACCATTTCTTTTCGTTTATTTATATTATTATCTTTCTACATTCTTTTTCAACATAATTATTACATATCCTGATGAACCTACAACCGTGACATGTAATGAGACAACGCAACATAAGGAAAGTGATTTAGAAGAATGGGAAGATGATATAGTACCTGAGGAAATTGTCAAAGAGGTAGAAAATTTTGAAAACAAACCCAAGTTCAATTTGGAACAAACCGAGGCAGTTAACTTAGGGGATTCTAAAACAGTCAAAGAAACTCACATTTGCATTCATCTATCGCCATCAGAGAAGGAAGAGTACATCAAATTTCTAAGGGAATATGAGGATATTTTGCATGATCCTATGACGACATGACAGGATTAAGCACATCCATAGTGGCTCAGAAGCTACCTACCAACCCTATGTGTTTGACGGTAAAGCACAAACTCAGGAAATTCAAGCCAGATATAAGTCAAAAAATAAAGGAAGAGGTTATCAAGCAGATCAAAGCCAAGGTCCTTTGGGTGGTCGAGTATCCAACTTGGCTAGCCAACATTGTACTGGTTCCGAAGAAGGATGGGAAGGTCATGGTGTGCGTTGACTATCGAGATCTGAATAGAGCAGGCCCTAAGGATGATTTCCCATTGCCCAACAGACACATACTGATCAATAATTGTGCCAAACGTGAACTCTAATCCTTTGTGGATTTCTTCGCATGATATCATCACATTTGGATGGATGAAGAGGACACCAAAAAGACAGTCTTCATCACGCCATGAGGGATATATAGTTACAAAATGATGCCATTTGGTTTGATGAATGTCGGGGCTACCACTACTCTTTTCCACGATATGATACACAAGGAAATAGAGGTGTACGTGGATGATGTCATTATCAAGTCCAAGAGGAGTTCGGATCACATAGCAGACCTAAAGAAGTTTTTCGATCGACTACAAAGGTACAATCTGAAGTTGAATCCTGCGAAATGTCCTTTCGGAGTCCATACTAGAAAGTTGCTGGGTTTTATTGTCAGTCCCCGCGGTATTGAGTTAGACTCGTTAAAATTAAAGCTATTCAAGACTTGCGGCAAGCTGGACCGAAGAGTGTCAAAGGGCTTTCGATAAAATCAAGGAGCACATATCCAAACCACCCATGCTGGTCCACCAGAGCCCGACAGAACCTTATTGCTATACCTGTCCGTGTTGGATAGAGCCTTTGGTTGCATCCTGGGACAACATGATGAAATCGAGAGAAGGGAGCAGGAGATATACTATCTGAGTAAAAAGTTTACACCTTACGAAGCCCGGTACTCTTTGTTAGAACACACCTGTTGTGTCTTAAAATGGATAGCCCAGAAATTGAGGCACTACTTCTGCGCATACACCATATATATCATATCGAGGATGGACCCATTGAAATACATCTTTCAGAATCCCATGCCTATGGGTAAGCTAGCAAAGTGGAAGATGTTGCTAAATGAGTTCGACATCATCTATGTAACTCAGATGGCAGTCAAGGGGTAAGCATTGGCCGATCACCTTGTAGAGAACCCTGTATATAGAGAATACGAACCATTAAAAACGTATTTTTCCAATGAGAAAGTGTCATTTGTAGGGGAAGATATTGTCGAAACATATCATGGTTGGAGGATGTTTTTCGATGGAGCCGCAAACTTCAAAGGAGTGGGCATCTGAGCTATAGTGGTATCAGAAACTGGTCAAAATTACCCAGTATTCGCCAAGCTCAGGTTCCCATGTACCAACAATATGGCAGAATACGAGCCTTGCATCTTGGGACTCAAATTGGCCATCGACGTGAATATTCAGGAGTTGCTGGTAATCAAAGATTCAGATCTGCTGGTACATCAAGTACTCGGAGAATGGACTACTAAGAACACTATAATATTGCCATACCTGCACTATGTGCAAGATTTGATCAAGAGGTTCACGAAGATGGAATTCAAACATGTTCCAAGAGTTCAAAATGAACTCACCGATGCACTGGCTACCTTGTCTTCCATGATACAAAATCCAAACAAGAATTTTATTGAGCCTATCCCGATAGAGATTCGTAAGCAAGCAGCTTGTGCTCACGTTGAAGAAGAATCAATGGAAATCTAAGGTTTCATGATATCAAGGAGTATTTGGAGAAAGGAGAATACCGTGGAAATGCTACACATACTAGAAGCGCACGCTTCATAGATTGGCCAATCCCTTCTTTCAGAGCAGAGGAACTTTGTATAGAAGGATTCCGAACTTGGGATTGCTGCGATGTGTCTATGCCTAGAAGGCATCTAGGCTGCTTGAAGAGATACACGCCGGAACCTATGGACCACACATGAACGGTTTCGTTCTAGCCAAGAAGATATTCGGGGTAGGGCATTTCTGGATGACTGTGGAGAGAGACTGCATCAAGATGACTGTGGAGAGAGACTGCATCAAATATGTCCAAAAGTGCCACCAATGTCAAGTACATGCTAATATGATACGGGTGCCACCCAACGAACTCAATGCAATTGAGTTCACACTAGCCTTTCTCTTCCTGGGGCATGGACGTCATCAGACCGATTGAACCCGATGCTTCAAAAAGACACAGATTCGTTTTGGTGGTTATAGATTACTTCACAAAGTGGGTCGAAGCCGCTTCCTATAAAGCTGTGACTACGAAGGTCGTAGCAGACTTCATTCGATATCGTATCATTTGTCGATTTGGAGTACCTGAGTCAATCATTTCTGACAATTCTACCAATATCGACAGTGATATGATGAAATCCATGTGTAAAACATTCAAAATCAAGCACCGAAATTATACATCATATAGGTTGCAAATGAATGGAGTCGTGGAAGCCACCGACAAGAACATCAAGATGATATTAAGGAAGATGGTGGATAACTACAAGCAATAGCATGAGAAGCTACCACTTGCTTTGCTCGGATAACGCACCACAGTTTGCACGTCAACTGGGACAACTTTGTATCTATTGGTCTATGGCACTGAAGCTGTTATACCCGCCGAGGTGGAGATTCCTTCCCTAAGAATCATACAGGAGGCCGAGCTAAACGATGTGGAATGGGTACAGAGCCGATATGAGAAACTAGCTCTCATTAACGGTAAGAGAACGAATGTAGTGTGTTACAATCAACTCTACCAGAATAGAATGGCAAGGGATTTTAACAAGAAGGTTAGATCGAGGCAATTGGGGAAATTGGTGTTGAAGCGGATCTTCCCATACTAGGACAAGGAAAAAGGAAAATTCTCACCTAACTGGCAAGGCCCTTACATGGTTCACCCAGTATTGACAGGAGGAGCACTTATACTTGAAGAGATGTACGGAGAAATATGGCAAAAAATCTATCAATTCGAATGTCGTCAAGAGATATTATGTTTGATATTGCATTTTCACTTTCTTTTGATGTAACATGAACTACTTGACCTAAATCACATTTAAGAGGGGATACGTAGGCAGCCCTATGGGTTTGGTCACATCATAATAAAATCTTCATTCCCCTATACGGTTAGAAACCAGGGCAAGAGTTCGAGTTTTCATCAATCTTATTGCATCAAGGATCACCAAGGAAGGAATCGCTAGAAGTATACATTAAACTGGGGCAAAATTTTTAGGGGGTCCTCAAAATTCTGAGTTAAGAAGGTCGCAATGTCTCAAAGCATGTCACAGTCTACGATTCAACCAAACTATTTACTTTTGTTCAGTATTTTTAAAAGCAATTGCATTACTTACAAATGATTTACCGTACATGCATATTTTCAAAAAATCACACTTCCGTAGTAGGCNCAAACGTACACGACTAAACTTTGATCGCCGAACTCCCAGACAATACACCACTATCACTGAACCCATAGCCTAACTATATGAGAGACTGAAGGCCGCTGGTTATGTCACTCCCATTCCTATTGTTGCTGTTGAGAGTCCTTCCCAGTGGGTTAACCCCAACAAGACTTGTGCCTACCACTCAGGCATGAAGGGTCATACTATCGAGGAATGCAACATGTTGAAAGACAAGATCTAGGCACCGATTGACAAGCAAAGGATTCCATGACGAATGTCCGCAATGACCCTCTTCCTAATCATAGGGGTGAAAGGAATAAATGTGATAGAAAATGATGAAGAATGGGATCAAGAAGGATCCATCAGACTTATCCAAGAGGGGGTTGCTCCCAAAACATCCCCTATCACCCTCTCGCCAACTATGGTACAAACCCAGGCACCATTCGAGGTTGAGGTAGCTATGCCTTTCACTGTGATGGAAGCTCCAACACCATCTTATAAGTCTGATGTTGTCCAATGGGATTATGTGGTGAAAGCATGGAGAAAAGGAAAAGCCAAGATGGAAGAGACAGGTGTTGCACAAGGAATAACCAGAACCGGCAGGGTTTACACACCTGAAAATCTTGGACGAACAA